GCTGGGAGAGAGAGAAGCTGATGTACAAGGTTCCTGAATAAACTGCTTGAAGAAGAGTTGTGGTCATGTTTCTCTTGCTGGTCGAGATAGACGAGACACTCATTGGCTCTCTAGATTCTTCAGGGTCTTGCTGCCTCTACATTCACCAACTTTTGCATGATACAGATGTGAGGTGATAGTTAACATGAAGGGAAGTAGCTTTAGGTCAAGTGCTTTACATCTTATCTCAATTATAGAATGTACTTTTAATTCAAATGTAGAAATGCCTACATCAGCTGGGGCGTGCCTTTAATCCCAGCATTCAGGAGGCAGAGACAAGAGCATCTCTGCCAATTTGAAACCAATGTGATCTACAGAATGAGTTCCAGGATAGGTACCAATGCTATAGAGAAACCATGTCTTGAAAAATCAGAGAGAGAGAGGGGAGGCCCCACTTGTTCAGTGGGACCAGTTTTGTAATGTTTAGTTTGCTTACATTACACACAGTCAGTGATACTGGGGATGTTTCTGAAGGCCTCCAGGAGACCACTGTCTTCATTATAGATGATGCAGGGTCTCCTGAGCTGAACCACACAAGGATTGCTTTCTACTATTGCTAGATGACTTACTGAGGTCTAGACAGATTTTCTTGATGTCATCCCATGCTTTAAGTTTTGTAAGGAGCAGCATGACTTCCTTGGCCTTCTTGTAATCATCAACCTTATATTCAGCCACCAAAGGAAGTGCAGGGAGTCTCTCCATATGGTGACTGTTATACATAACTAAACCTGGTAAGTGCAAGGCAGCCAGGGAAGAACAGATGACATATCACACTTGGGTGACATTCATTCTGTTCTGTCAATGATGCCAGGTTTTAGTTAGTGCAAACATGCTGCCTTCCTTACACATACTTCCAAAGGTGCCCTAGACGGATTGGTTGGTCCCATTTTTCTTGAAATCTGGGAATCTGAGCTAGAGCTCTAATAGAATCTCAAGACTCAGCACTGGTGTGATGACCTATTAATTCACCGATGATGCAGGGCTGGCTGTTGTTTGTACATGCCGAACACAGATGACAGAGTGACTATTTTGTCAGATTACTCGCCTTTCAAGAGTAAATAAAGATAATGGTAGAAACTCAAAGGAGTGGGAAATCAATGACTGGTTCAACTGGAGCTCCATGCCAGAAGAGGTAGCCCACAGGTTAGTTAGGAACCAGGGGCAGAACAGCTCAGAGACCTAGGATAGAACTAAACACAACTGGAAAAAAAATTTAAAAAATTATAAAGTGAATGAAATGATCCCTAATGATATCCTGCTATACTCACAGTTCAGTGCCTAGCCTGATCATCAGACAGGCTGCTGCTGGCAGCTGATAATACATGCAGAGACCCACAGCCAAGCATTAGGCAGATCCCAGGGAACCACACAGAAGGACTTTAGGAGTCAGATGTGTAGAGAACACTAAGAAAAGAAAGACCACAAAATCAACTAAACAGGGCTCTCAGGGACTCACAGCGACTAAAGCAACAATTGGCAAGCCTGGGTGGGTCTGACCTCATTCCTCTGGTTGTGGTTGTGTAGCTTGGTGTTTTTGTGGGAGTGGGGATGTTTCTAATTCTTTTGCGTGCTCATGGAACCATTTTCCTCCTACTGGGTTGCCTTGTCCAGCCTTGATATAAGGGGCTTTGTTCCTAGGCTTATTGAAACTTGTTCTGCTGAGTTTGGTTGATATCCCTGAGAGGCCTGCTCTTTTATGAAGGGAAACAGGGTAAGGATTGGATCTTGGGGAGTGGTGATGTGTGTGAGGGAACTGGGGTAGAGGAGGGAGGGAAAACTGCATTTGGGATAGTTTCTATAAATAGAACTGCATGCCATGATGGGGAAAGAAGGTCAAGATCCTCTCTACCTCTTGCTCCTTTGGAAGAATTAAAGGATTATCTTTGGAGGAATGGGTCCTTTGTTGCCCCTTGTTACAGCACCTGCTTAGTTATCTATGAGTTACTGGTTTCAGTCCACAGCAGCACCAACAGTTAAATTTTCAACAATTATTTGAGCAAGTATCCTAGAAATACAAGTATCCTAGAAGTATAAAACCAGGACTGTTCTTTATGCTGTGATCATTTCCCCCCAGTGTTGGCTGGAATAAAATAATTTGTTTGCCACGATACATTCTGAAAATATATAGAGAAGGTTAATCCTGTCAGTGTCTAGTATTGTCTGATAATCTCTATCCTTGTGTCAATCTCTTTCTTTTTTTGTCTGTTTGTTCGTCTTTTTTTTTGGGGGGGGGCAGGGTTTCTCTGTGTAGCTTTGTAGACCAGGTTAGCCTCGAACTCACCGAGATCCACCTGCCTCTGCCTCCTGAGTGCTGGGATAAAAGATTTGTGCCACCACCAGCAAGCCTCAATCTCTTTGCTTTTAATCTCCTGGATGGGTACATTATCTTTCTTCCAAAGTTTTAGTTTGAAAACAAAGACGGTTATGTCACTAGATTTCTGCACGTGAGTACAGAGCCCCATAGCATTGCAAAGATAGGAATATTTCACTCTGCTATTTGATATTTTTTTAATGAAGGAAGTTTTGCATAGTTTCCCATAAAAATCACTCTTGATGGCCTTGGTAAACTTGCTGAATCTTAGATAACATGTCCTGCAATTATTCAGCAAAAATATGGAAAAAGCATACCTGTACAAGTTGCTAGACTCTTGGGGCACTAGGAATGATGTGTAGAGACCTGGAAGATAAACTTCCAGTCTTCTGTGTTAATTTTCTTGCTGACACTGATTGTAACCATTTATGGAGTATTTTAGACACTTCTTTCAGTTACTCAATAAATTGTGTTGAGTTCAACTTTAATAAAAGACCTAACAATAGCATTATTTTCTATAAATTTGTACTCAAGGGATCAAATAGTTGCAATATCAAACACAGAGAAGGCTGAATGAGGTGATTAGCACCAGAAACAAGCCATGCAGAATTTAAATTGTGCAGGTTAATATAGAAAGGGACCATTTATAAAATAGCAGTGAGGAGATTACTCAAGACAGGAAGGTGTTTGGTTAGCAGAATTTTGAAGGAAAGGATTGCCCAAAGACTGCAGGTATACATCAATATACTGACTTCCTATGCCTGCATATAGTTTCAGTAGTTGGATTATTGATCATACAGAGCTTCTACTTCTCACTAATGGCCATAATGAATTCACTAGTTAATATCCAAACTGTCAGTGATCCATGCTTATCAGCCTTACCAACACTTGTTATTTCCAGTCTTTTGTTAAAAGTTTTTCCCTCTGAGGGAAGGCGATAACTATATTGTCTTTGACTTGTTTTGTCCTGATTGGTAACGTTAACTTTTTTTTTTTTTTTTAAGGCTGTTAGTCATTGTATGTCTTCTTTTGAAAAATATCTTTTAACATCTTTGACTCATTTTAAAATTTAGTTGTTTTTCTGTTGAGCCTTTAGTGTTCTTACACATTCTGGTCATATGGAAGTTAATATATGTAGGTTATATGCTTACTGTGTTTTGTTTTCTGTACCTTTGGATGCAGACTATTTGGTTAACACAATCTTGTATACTAAGTTTTACTTGTTTCCTGTTCATTTAAGTTTAATTTTCTTAATTGTATATGTTGTGTGTGTGTGGGGGGGTTGGATATACACACATATGTGCCAGCACCCACAGAAGCTAAGGGCATCTGCTCTTTCTAGAGCTGAAGTGACAAGCAGGTGTGAGCTCCTCAAACTCAGGTCATCTTCAAGAGCTGTAAGCTCTGTTAACTGATGAACCATCTTTCAAACTGTTTCTTTCCTGGGCTTCTGAGTTGTTTGTTTTAAATCTTAGTTG